CGCTGGGCAGAATTGAGGACTCCTCCAGTAGCTTAGCTTGTTGATGTTTAGGTAGCTCTTACGAAAGGTGTTCTAAGTGTCCTCTCAATCTAGAAACCCTACAACTACCCTGGCTCAAAAATCCAAACAGCAACAATTGTTTTTCAATCAAGGATGATGAAAAATACAACAGTGCCCACTAATTGCATCTGCTTGGCTGGCTGAGCAAGGATCTACTGTCTACTGTGTTGGGACCCGGGCCGAACGAGCAGCCTCAGCCTGACAGTGACCGGTTCTGCTGCTCAGATCGTTTGATGCAGCGCTCTGGAGGGATTGGTGCTCTAGTTGCCTCATGTTGTCTCCATCACCAGCTGGGAGAACAAAAACTTGATGGTGGAGGTGGGAGTTACAGCTCTCACTTTGGTAACGACTCCCTGCCTCCTTGGTCCCCCCTGCACTTTTGATCTTTCAAAAGCCAATGCCAGCTTCACAACTTCACACCAGCTCGGGTGCCCACTGGCAGCCGCGCGTGGCGTTGGGGCGTGTTCTGACACCTCAGATTTTGCCCAATGATGTTTCTCCGTGGCTCATTCAAGAGAGTTTGTCTTAAGGATTTCAGTCGGCCAAGAGCTTGTTTGCGCATTACAAGGGCCATGGCTCGCTCAGCAGCTCAGCCAGGTTGCTGGCCTCATGAACAGGCCGAATGTAGCTTCAACCCCAATGAGACCAATGAGACGTGTTCTGTGGACATGGACATGTGAGTTTTGGTTGGGGGCGTGTTAGTCGAAGAACTGCATCCAAAAACACCTCGCCCGAATCACAAGACATGTTGTTTTTACAACTGATGTGCTAGAAAGTGTATAATATATTATACAGTCAGTCAAACACATGTGTAAATTGCACCAGAATTTCACACACTTGGCACATCTTGGCACTACACTGCATGGCTCAATAAGGCCGCCCTTTTGGTGACTCTACAGCGCTGCAGCCACGAGGCTTCTGGCCCATCCGTCACCTTCAGAGAGCCAACTTCGCTTCGCTTCGTCCGAGCTGCGACCGCTGTCAGTTCTTTGCCACCAAAGGATGTCAACGGTGTCGAATGAGTGTAATCCAAAAAGAATCTTCTTGGCAGGGTGGAAACCCATGGAGAAGCCCTTTTTTCTCAACAATGCAACGCAATATATATAATATATAATATATATATATATTACTATATTATAGTTATATATAATATACATATAACTATATATATATATATGGCCGTCGCTTGCTACGAACACAAGTCAAAAACAACTCTGGGATACCTGTAAAAGGTATGGTCATGGTCCAGGAAATTCTGCTCCCAATCGCCTCCCAATCTGTAAAGAACGAATCAAGGCTTTCACACTGTGATTGGATGCGAAGGGAACTGGTCGGGACAGTCTGGCCCCTGGCCTCGCACGCCAAGGCCCTTAAAACGCCTCAGCACCGGTTCCATCAAACGTCACAGTAGCCCCTGAAGCTAAGATCTTTCAGCTACACAAGAACCATCAACAATGTCAAAGCAAGGCGATATCAGTGGTTTTGTGGTTCGAAACCCAACGACATGGCACCAACTGAAGCCAGAAGGAACCACGACTCTTGGATAACCCCGCTGTCGATGTCGATCTCGTCGCTCACGTGGCTTGCAGAATCTCAGAGAGGCATGTGCTTGGATTGAGCCTTCTCGGAAGTGGCTGGGATTCATGGGGAACTGCTCGATTGGTTGCTCTTGAAGACTAGCCGCTAACCTTGGGCGACATCAAAAGAGAGAACCGGAGTAATTGTTCTTGTGAACAGGGGTGCTGCATCCGCATCCTTTGGTACCAGCCAGACCCGAAATCATGTTGATCTCCTCATCACCAGGGTTCCGTCCTATGTCACCCTAAGAACATCCATGCAAGCCAATGGCTCAGACTTGGGCACCGGCTGGGCGAGGAAACAGCATCGGAATGCCTGAAGAACAGCATGGGAGGCACTCATCTTGAAGATCTTTGAGATCTTGGAGAGTCATGAGAGTTTTAGAAAAAGCTTCCTGCAACACAAGTTCCGACCAGGCCAGTTGCCTTGTGTGCTGCAATCAAGGATCAGACCACCAGACCGAGACCAGGAGACCATGACCTACACACATTCTACTAGGAGCAATGGACGCTACTAGGGGCTCCTGGCATCGCTACGAACGGAGCAATGGACTCTACGAACGGGGACACATTCTGTCTCTGCTTCCAATGCCTGCGATGTTCGGTCGACTGTCGCCTTGAGGATGCTGTACCTCGTGCAGCGAATGCCCACCGTGGTTGAGTTGATTTGAGCACCTCATTTGTCCATGTGGGTTACACAAACACTGAACACCATGTCATGGTTTGATCCACCCCTTGAAATAGGACAACCCCAAAGACCTCCAATCTAGGATCCGGACTTGCACGGCCCAAGTCTAGGTCCGCGACACCTCAGTTTTAGTGGGGGCAAACTGTTTGGTGTCAATGCCTATCACTTGGTTTGAAAACAGCCTATGCACTCCAGACTTGGAATCATGAATGAAGTGCTTGGTTGTCGGAAAGAAGCAGTACACTCAGTACACAAATGATCACAATTGTTCTGTGCTGGATGGTGTTTGAATCGCTAGAGCACGGAAACTTCCTGGACTCCAGTCACACAGAAGCTATGCTAATGACAATGGCATACTGAGGAGAATCACCTATGAAATCCAATCGATCACACAGTCACACAGCAATTGTAACTTGGCAACCAAAGTTAAATTATAGTTGTATGATAAATTGATTGAATGCAGCGACAAGAATCGTTGAAGTTGGAGTCTAGAGTATATGGATTCCCACAGATTCCTGCCAGGGTGGAAGGATTGCATTCAACCTACTGGCTGTCCGAGCCACAGTCACGAAGGTCCACCACTTCCTGTGCCAAAATCAGAGTGAAATCGGTCAAGGATGGGAAGGCGTCATGGTTGACGACCAGGGCATGAACCTACGCTGTCCAAATAATTGGTGTTATATATATATATGTTTTTTAAAACTATAGTTTTATATACTATACCTATATATGCCTATATACATACGCCCACGCTGCAACACTGCAAGTCTTTTTCCGAAAGGACCTGGTTTTACCTCCAACAGCCTGAAGCTGTCTCCACCGACTTCACCACGTTTTGGTGGGAGAGAAAGCGCCCATTGGGTCCGAGGTGAGGTGTTCCTTTACTTACTTGGAATCGCTATGAATCGCTATGAATCGCTGTACTCAGTATCAATCTTGTGCGCTCAGTCAAATTGATGCATGGAGCCAGGATAATCTAATCAAAACAAACAGGTACTGTATGCTGTACGCCTCCCATATCCCGTCACAATATCTCTCACAATAGCAACAGTGCTCTACTATTGATAGAAAATGATAGAAGAAATCCTGCACCACCAAGAACCATCCCCGTCCAAACACCGTGAATCCGATGTATCTCAGCTAGTCCAGGTTTTCTCACAATCTCTCCTTTGACGGCTGTTTCATGAAAGCTGCGTTCTTTGGGAGTCTCATCCAGCTTGTGGGAGACTTATGGAGAATGTCAGGTTGTTACAACTACCACCCATGGCCGCCATGGCAATATCCAGCTCCTAACAGCTTCTGCGCATTCCCCACCATCCAGCAGCCTCCACATCATCCAGCTCCTTGTCACTGAGCCTCCATGCCTTCACAAAATGCAGGCGCAAAAGATCTTGATTGGTCAATCAATTCTTGACAACTAAGAGCAAGTTTACAAACTAATTCTTCGAGCAAAAGCAGTCGAACACGTGAGTCCAGCCAGAGTTCGAGGCAACCCAAGTTCGTGGGAAATAGGGATCGCATGTCGATGTAAACAAATGTATGAAGTCGATCCAATGTACATAGGACAAACCCATCTCAAGTCCACCTGCGTGGCAAACATGCCGGTCCTTGCCGGAAACTGTTCGATCTATCTCTATTCATCTCTATTCCATCCTTCTCCAGGATGGCATCACATGTTCACATGTTCAGGGCCCAACATCACCTGGCCATAGATCTGGTGTGGATTCGCTGACTGAAAAAATCGAGAGGGGGGCCATTGATCCACCTGGAGGGGCATGGATTGGGCACTGAAAAGCTTTCAGCAACTGCCGTTCGTCACCTCGAAATAGCTTAAATCTGCCATGAGAACGAGCAGAAAGGAAAGACCGGCCCCCCTGATCAATCAGACGTCGTACTGTCGTTCTGTTGGTTTGTTGACTTTTCTTGGTTCGTTCTTGGAAAGTCACTTGCCATCTTGACAGTTACCATCTGCAAGTTACGTGGAATGTAACATAGCTGAAACCTCACTTGGGAAGTTGCAGGTAAGCAGCTTGGTCACTTCAAACGCAATGCTCTTGTTGGGCCCAAGGCTCTGATCAATGTTGCTCATTTTTTTGCAGATAAAAGATGATAGAAGCATGCTGGACACACTACTACTCCAAGCAGCTGCTGAAGTATCTTTTGGATTCTTTTGGTACATTAGAGAACTGAAATAAGCCAAAATGCCTGCGCCGCCGGGCAAGGCTGGAACAGGTCTGCTTGGTGGGCGTGGTGACTCTACTTGGTGACTCTCAGGTCTGCTTCGGTCGCCGCAACCCTTCCGAATATCCATCAAACCGCGGACCCAAATGGCTTCCGTCTAGCTGGCTCTCAAAGCTATTCGCTCGGTCCGGTCTGTTGGCCTAAGTTATGTCCTTGTCCCCAAAAGACCCCGTCAATTCATGCACATCCAAAGCGCCTTTCCTTCGCATATGTATTATTCCAGAGTTGCACCGTGGCATGTTGGAGAAAACTGATCACTGCGGCTTGTGGTATGTTCAAACCAATGTCATTCTGCACGTGTGCCAAAAATCTAAAGCCCAGGAGATGAGGGAAATCATGAGCCCAACCAGTCAGGTCAAGCAACCAGCGAGATTCGGCAGACTTCCTGTCACCATCAAGATGGTATGTGGCTCATCACCATCTAGAAAGTAGTGATCTAATCAGGCAACTCAATGGAAGAATACCAACAATCCATGGTGATCAGCGATCTCCAACTGAAAGGACTTTGACTTTGCGCAGTAGATGTACCGGCCAGGGCCACCTCACTACGCTGGTGTGGTCGAGATACGTGCCCTGCGCGGCCCAGGCTGTTTAATGGTAAGGGGAGGAGTTACCTTGCACCTCACATGGAAAAGGCAACAAGAAAGCTATTCTTCCCTCTATCGGCGGCCGCAAGGCCGCAAGGCAAAGGTCTTCAGTCAGCGACGCCCTCTTGCAGAGTGTGGTGGCTTTTCGCAGTTTGACCTTCCCACGAAAGATATAATATATTGTAATTAGATTTGAATGTGTTTAAGTCTAAATGACAGCAGAACACATGCCGAAAAAACAAATATCCAAAAGCAAGATTTCTGGTGCCCAAATCTGTTCATAGTCATATATGCTTTTCAATCTCCTGCCATCTGTGGCCTCTTCATCTTTGCAGCCACTTCCCGGACCGCTTTCATGCCGTCTCTCGAGGCATCCTGCTTCGCACACAATTTCGGACAACTCTTCATCTGCACAGCAACTACATGTAATTATATACTTGTTTTTACAGAATTTGACACATGATGCTGGCATGTCTGGAACACAGCTGCGGGTCCAGAGAAAACACCAAATTTCTGAAGTGCCGGCTTCGTGCCATCCCACCCTATGATGTCCAGGCTCAATGGCTGGTCATTGTTGTAGATGTCCCAACATGCTGGTTGGGGATACGAATTGGAGAACTGTCTGCCAGTGTCAAGGAATAGGCTGCAGCAGGGCTGCTACAGTCCTTCATGTGCTTTGCAATAACTATTTTGGAAGAATCTATATGCAACCGATAAACATAAACAGACTAAGACCATCTAAGACCCTTTGCTCGAGGACGTATCCCACTTTAAGTCTAAGACCATACCGTTCAGTTCCCTCGCCAAACTCCAAGCTCCCGTGCCTCCATCTTGTCAGCATCCTCTTGTGCTTGGCTTTTGTCCACCCGGCAGGGCCCGCCTGAGTCGAGCTCCACCGGGGTCTACCGAGTTCCACCTTTAACAGGAGACGTTCACGCCGGCTGGCACTTTTGGGATGTTTTAGGCTATTTCTCCAACTACTTGCCAAGCATATAGGTTCGCGTGCGAACCCCCTATATAGTCATGCTTGGATCAAATGATTGAATACAAACACTCGGTACACATAGACAAGGAGAACAACCCCAGAACACCGAACACCTAACACCTGAGAACAGGGCGGACACACATAGTTCGCTGGCGGCCTCAATGTCAAAAGTATACACGTTGACATGGAACACCTATCAACTGACTAATACTCTGACTAATGCGTTTCGGGGTTCTAGCTTTGAAGTCCGGGATCTGTCTGATTACATTCCGAGGGGTCCTTGAGGGTGTTGGATTTTTTGAAGTTGTTTTTCCCCAACTCATCTCACATAAAAATTGATACTGTCGTCATTCAATACGCACGCATCTTTATGCAGAGTTACGTAGACCAGACCTTTTTGGTGTGCCTGTTTTTGAAGATCATCTGGCTCATCTGCTTCTGTTCGTGGCGTGACACAACTACTCGAAACATGATTGACCCAAACTATGTAATGAAATGAAGTTCATGAAGGGAATCAAACTTCTGCAAACAGGAGATGAGCTAGAAACAATCAAGGGAGCACACGTTGCTAGAACTCTTGAAAGAAGCACTTCCACCTGAAATGATTGGACCACTCGCATGTTTTGGCTTCCAAATGTGCATCTTGTGCCTGCTGCAGCTGCATCCAGGCCCAAGTAGATTTCCGCTTGAAAGGTTTGTTCCTGGGACCCGCAGGCACCGCAGGAACCGCATACCCGAAAGAAGGCCGTCACATGAATGCAACAAACCAAGTGTTTGTTTTACTTGGCATTCCAGAAATATTCCAGAAGTCCAGGAAGCAGCATGATTCACCAACATAGGGATCCTGCATAAAGTGTTCAATTCTGTACAAGTTAATAAGTTAATGTAATTCTTGGGCACCCGACACCACTGTGGCGCGTACGAGCATCCACCACCTCTTTCCATCCCGCTGTTGCGTGAGTGAGTCTTAGTCTTGAAACTCGCAGTTAGCCCATTGTGAGCATGGTCCACAGCAGTTCCATGTCGTTTTGTTGGGTCATTGTCCAACAACAGTGGTTGAACTACAGATCCCGGCACTCTCCAACCTGTTGACCCAGGGAGTGAATTGCGCCCTGGATTCGACCAATAGGCGTATCAGCAAAATATCATGCGTTAGACTTCCGAACTAAACGAATCGTGCACAAAGGGCAATTGACAAAGCCAACCTTTCTCACCCCATGCTTGTTAGGATTGCTATGCAAAAATAGAACAGCGCTGGAGCAAATTGTATGAACTACTGGGCAAGCCACCATGATTATTGTTGATAGCGGATTCCGACCATTTCTCAGACCTTTTCACAGGGCTACAGGGAAGGTGAATTGGATTCAACAATTGTCTCCATTAGATTTCGTTAGCAAACCCAACTCGAAAACGTTTTTCCCAGGCTCGCGATGCCATTTCGGGATCTCTGTGAATCTGGCCACACCTTGACCTCGACCGTCTCTATGCCACCCCTGAGACCCACGGGACCCGCTTTGGACTCGGATGCGTGTGATGGCTAAAGATTGGTCAAAGCCCAAAGCCGCTGGGTTGAAGTCTCGGAAACCTAGTTGGGCTGCTCGTTGAAGCAACAAAGGACAAAAGACTCCATATAACATGATTAAAACACATGGTCCGGACATTGAAGCAGCACGTGGCTGAGTCCAGCTGTGCTAATGACAAGAAAAAGAAGGTGATGCGTGCGCGCGTGCCAGTGTGGAATTGATGGACGTTCAGTCGCTCATGGTATCAACATTGGCACTAGTACTAAGTGGAACAATCAAGGCCTTGAATGACTTCTTATAAGGTCAAAGTTGACGTCTAATTAACTGCGATGCATGCTCTCCAATCAGCACACCAGAAATGACAACCTCATGCCTCATGTCAGAAAATCTAGAACTCCTGCTAACATTTGGCCCCTACCTCAACTAAAAGGTACCCCAAAAACGTTTAAAAAGAGATCGCCCCGAAGTGCCCATGCCGGACCAGTTCTCGGTGCCGAACCCTGGGGTGACGGTGGGCCGCTTCCTGGACCTGCACGGAGCACCCGGACCCATTAGACCAAATAAAACTAGTAGCGTCCTTGCTCCTACTAGCGTCCTTGTTACTACTAGTAAGGCACTTGTTACTAGTAGTAAGGCCAGGAGCCCCTAGTAGCGTCCTTGCTCGTAGTAGT